AAATGCACATACGCTTTTACTTTACAGGGGACCTAAATGCTTTATTAACTGCTGAGATTACAAACCTCATTTGGAGCTGGGGTTTTTAGCCAGAGTATACTTTTGGTCCTTGGAAAATTGCCCACATGTGTAACTTGTTTTTGCTTCTCCTCAGACAAGGAATTCCCCCCCCCCTCCCTCCCTCCTTCCCTCCTCACCACTTACGGATTTTTAACAGACGGCAGCATTCAAACTGAGAGCTAGCACAGGAAATGGCAAAGGTAGATCCTTCAGCTTTTAGGCTACAGAAACTTATTTCACTCTTTTTTTTCTTTTTCTTTTTTCTTTTTTTTTTTTTTTTTTCTGTAGGTTTCACTCTTCAGGAGGGAATTTTTGTTGCGCTTTCGTGCGTTCAGAAGGGGTTCCGTGACTGAAGTTTCTTTCATAAACCTCTCAGACCTGCCCTAAATGTATCATTCATAAAGCATGTTTTGCTTTATGCTGAGATTTTATTCCTGTTTCCTGACTCTTAAAAAAAACAAAACAAAACAAAACAAAACCAACCAACCAAACAAAAAAAATTCCCTTGTTGTGATTATCAGTATTATTGTTGTTGTTGTTATTATTATAATATTGGAATGTTTTATATCACCAAAAATAAACGCTCAGCCCTTTGAAGGCTGAGTTATCAGAATCTGGTCTCCAGACCCTCCATAGCAGTGAAGTTCACTCTCAGCTTTTATCCTGTCTTAGCTTATCCTTATCAGCTCCCAAACCTCAGCTGGGGAAGCGAATCTCCCGAAAGTCCTGCAGGTTACACCCCGCAGCCGTGTCGGCCTCTTGGGGCAAAGATCCCGCTGGAATTCCCTCAATCCTGCCCCTCTGGGCGTCAGGACTGGGGGGCAAAACTCCTCACCCCCAGATCTCCTCCACCTTCCCCATCTCAGTGATAAAGAGGCAAAATCGGCTGGAAGAAGTTGCCAGTTCTAATAAATTATAACAAAAAGCCTGGAAAAAGGGGTTAAATATGTTTCCGGTGAGAAATGGACCATCCGGTCTTTTTCTTTCTCAAACCAAAACTTATAAATCAGTAAAAAGTGGCAATTGCAGGGGCTTAAAATCTGCATATTTCAAAAATGTTTCATATTTGGTTGCTAACAGCTCAGAAATGCCAGCCCGAGGAGTTACTTGTAAAGATGGATTTTGGCAGTTGTGTGTTTCAAAGCACTATTAGGAAAATATTCCTTCTCTCCACAAACAATAAAGATTATTTATAAACAGTATCTGAGCTCAGAAGCTTCTGGTTTTCCATTGCAGGTTGACAATACTCTGAATTTTTCCTCACAGCCAAATACACTTGGCGCTGATCCTGCAAGCAGGAAAAAGTTTTCACTTCGAATTTTATTTTTAATAACTATTTCCTCTTCCCTTTACACATCACAACAGTCTGGTATCTATAATCAATCTAGTTCTCAAACCCAGCAGAACTCGCATATCCTGCCTCCTCTCTTCCAAAGATTCAGACTTTTGGACTCTGCTCCTTGAGTTTTTCTTTCTCTGAGTTGGTTTTTGTTGTTGTGGGGTTTTTTGTTGTGGTGGGGTTTTTTTTCGTGTGTGTGTGTTTTTGTTTTTTTTGGTTTTTTTACAAACAGAAGAGTTTTTAATTTAATTTCTGGTGGGCTTTAATTAAGGATTGAAACTCCAAATGCCTCTGGAATGTCACCCGGAGCAGGCAGCACTCCCAGCCAGAAGACCTGGGATGAAGCTGTAGTTTGCCTTAAGCCCCTCTCAGAAAAGGCTGCAAAGAGATGAGCGATGGGGATATGCATCAAAAATAAACTCCTGAACAAACGGAAACCTCCAGAGGAGAAAAAGCAAATGGATTTTGCAGCTCTTCTTGTGAGGTTTCCATTCACCAGGGATCTGAAAACCCTTGGTTTCTGCCTCACAGCCACGCTCCTAAGAGTCTTCTTGGTTTAAATTTATATACTACAGAAAATTATATACTCACATGCTGACACAGTTCATCATTATTTATAGGAGGCGCACCAGGATTTTTTTTCCAAGAATATATTTATTACAGGTAAGACACGGCCAATCTATCCAGCAAACAGAGAACAGGTGTTTTGCTTCAATTAACGTTCAATAATTTCATCTCTCCTTATTCAACACCCCGCTACCAACACGGCTGTTTATCCATCAGTTGTATAAACACATTTCCGTGAGCCAGGCGAGTTTAATCTCCACAACACACTTAAATCAGCCCTCTCCTTTCCCAAGCTCTCATAACATTTGCAGAGTCCCTCCGAATCTCTTGTGGACCAGTCTGATTTTTAAAAATCATTTCTGAAAGGCAATAAAGCCGAGAAATATGACAGTGTGAGCTACCAGCTCGTATTTCACGGCTGGTGACACAGGGTCTTTTCCTTTCAAAACCTCACCAACTCTTAAGGAAGTTTAAAGAAGGGGGTGGAAAAAAAAGGAAAAAAAAAAAAAAAAGGCTGTAGAAATGTGGAAAGTTGGAAAAACCAGGAATTATTCCCCCCTCGTTTCACACAAGCCCTGTTTGGGTGAGATGCACTGGAGCGAGCAGCGATCCTGCCCCGCTCTGCTCACACCCAGGGGATGTCTCTGCCTTCCCCAGTTCCAGGGGTGAAGGGCAGTCACTTTGGGTGAACCCCCCCCAGAAAGGAGAGCAGAGTTTGCAGGTCAGTGGCAAGTACTCACCTGCTGACACTTCCCCACGGGTGGCTTGGCAGGATCTGAACCCAGAGGCTGGAGAGGGGTCCCCAAGCTCTCCTCAACCCTCACCTTGGCTGCAGCCCGTGCGCTGGAGCCGCTTGTCCAGCACAGGGAGGGTTTGGAGCTGGCTGGGGGGGCTCTCGGTATCCAGATAGCTGCAAAAATTAGAATTAAATCTGACCTCCGGCATTAAGCTCCGGCTCTCCTTGCCCATCACCCCGACCCTCTCGATTTTTTTTTTTTTTAATGAAAATGGACAGCTTCCTAATTGCGCCTCATTTAGAGGAGCCCTGGTCCTGGACGTGGGGAAACGCGTCCCTCCATCAGGCTGCAGGGCAGATGCTGCTGCAAAAGCACCACTTATAGGAATAAAGGGAAATCTCAGGCTTTGGATGGAGGTTTTTAATCGCCTTCATCATCCTCCAGTACCAGTGAAACACCTCTGGCAGCGATTTCCCACCTCTGTTTTGTGTAGGCACAGGCACTCACACGGACCCTCGCACGGACCCTCGCACGGTCAGAGGGAAATGCGAAATAGGTTTTTCCTTCATTCCAGGCGGTTATTAGCACCCCTCACTGTTATTATTAGCCTGTTAATATCGACTTCCATCTCTCTACACTTCGGGAAGGATTCACCATGATTTATCCTTCCTAGAAACCTCTTTGCCCTTCACTTTAAATATCCTTCGGTGTGTTGGGGTGAGAGGGAGCAGGACGGAGGGGTAATAGATTAAAAGAGGCAAATTGATCCAGACTGTTACAGCTGAAGTCCAGAGGAACACTTTTGCCGTGGTCATAGAGAGCACCTTTTCCTTAACCAACATTTACGGGGCCATCGGACCATCTCGCAATAAACGGATGGATCATCAGAACTTGGTAAAACTGACCCCGTCTCCCCGCGTCGCTCAGGGCTGGAGCCGCACCGGGCTCTAACCCCGTGTCAATCACTGGCAGCCGGTGCGGGGGAAAAACCCCGAAATCGCCAGGTTTTGGAAAACACACGGAAAATCCGAGTGAGGCGGGGGTGGTGTGTGCCACGCACACGCACCGCGGGCACATGTGTGTGAGGTGCGAGGGGGGCACGGGCGCTGCAAACGCGAGGGATTCCTTCTTTGCCCCCTTTCTTTTCCACAGGCAATAAATTCAAGGCTATAAAAATCAAAGAAAGCTAATGTAAGTTTTATTAAACTATTTAACCATCACAAGTTTAAGGCATTCTGTAACAAAGCTGGATCAGTGGCGCACTGTATTTTACTAGCCTTGTAAACTTAAATGAAGGCTTCTGATTTCAGCAATGTGGGGAACTATTTTAGCTCCAGCGAAGCAACCCTGATAATGCCCCGAAACACGCGAACATATGTTCATATGCAGAGATATTTTTAATATATTTATATATATATATCTGTAGGCACGAAGTCGGAGGCAGGCTTTGGATGCACCCAGGGGCTGCAGCTCGGCAGCTCCCTGGACAAAGTTGCAGTGACACCCCCACGCCAGTGGCATTTTAAATTTCATATTTACCCACATTATTTTACCGTGTTAACGATCCATTTTCCCCATCCCAGATGGTTAATTATTTATAACACCCTCCCCACCACTCTTGCTACCTAGAGCCATCTTTTCCCCTCACAAAACCGCGTCTCTGCGTGTATTTATGTGTATATATGATTGCAATGAATGTATATGAAAACACGGCGAGGGGGGTGGGGGTGGTTTGTACTTATTCTCTGGTTTTCCCTATCGTACTCTGGAGCCCAAGTGGCAAAGAATAGCTTTTATCTCTATTCCCCCATGATCGTTATTAAAGGCAAAGCGAGCCCATCAGTATCTTCCTTTAAAAGAAAGAAGAAAAAAACCCACAAAAAACCCGACCCACACCCCCCCCCCTTTCGGACCCCTCCCCGTAATATTCCAGAGTAAACCTAGGAAGGGATATTTAGGAATATCAGCCCCCAGCTTTGGCCGTTTGGTGGCTTTTCGAAACTCCTGACGTTTTGCAACATTGCATAAACATAAAACAATCCATCCTTGATATGGAATGCAAGGGCGGATGACAGCGCAGCGCAGCCCCCTCGGCTTCGATTGATTTACGCCGAGACTGACGCTTTATCAGGCACACGAAAAAAGTTTGACCAATCATTTTGCTGGGAGCTCACAACACAGCAGCCCAACTGTACTTTGTTGGCTGGGAAGTTGGAGAAGGGGGTAGAGTACAAATCTAGATCTGTCCTATATATTTTTTTCCCTTCATTGAACCGTGCTTTGTATGATGTCTGAGAATGTCCATTTCTGGGACTCTTAGCAATTATTATGTCGACTCTATTATAAGTCATGAGAGTGAAGACTCGCCTTCAGCTAAATTTTCATCTGGGCAATATACGAGTTCCAGGCAAGCTGGGCACAATGAGCATCTAGAATTCCCCTCCTGTAGTTTCCAGCCAAAACCTCCAGTTTTCAGCGCCTCCTGGACTCCTTTGAATCCACATTCTTCTGGTACCCTTCCTGCCGTCTACCATCCATATATTCAACATCAAAGCGTCCCATCTGAGAGCAGGTATCTACGGAGCTGGCTGGATCCAGTACCCAGAGCAGAGAACCTCCCCGGGCAGGGATCTGTTAAGGCAGAGCCGCTGCTGGGCCGTCCCGGGGATGTCCATAAACAGGGAACACAGGAGTACAATTTAGAAACTTCTGCTGCAAGGGAAGGGATCGTTTCCAATCAAAGGCCCAGCTTCGAGGACAATAAAGTTTGTGAAGGAAGCGAAGACAAAGACAGGACAGATCAAAGTAAGTTATAAAAGTGAGGAAGTAAACAGTATAAAAGCTGGAGGAGGTGCAATAAAAGGGGACAATGCTGCGTAAAGTTTAAAATCAGGGCTTAAAGAAAAGTCTCAGCTTGCTGATGCCAACCTAAGGGGAGAGGTGGGGAGGGGAGAGGGGTGGCATTGTCTCTGCCGGTAAATAAAAATAAAAATAAAAATGAGCGTCGTCTCTGGGCTTAAACCGAGTCCAGAGCGGACAAAAGCTGGAGCGAGTCACCCTCTTTCCTACAGAGCGCTGGCTCCGGCAGCAGAGACGCTTTAGTAAGCGGGAGGAGAGGCGCGGGTGCGGGAGCTGGGGAAGGGAAGGGACGGGAAGGGAAGGGATGGGGGAGCCAGGGAATGTCGGGGAGAAGGGCGAGGGGGCGGCGGTCGAGGGAGAAGGAGGAGAAGGGGGGAAAGAGGCGAAATCGCCGAGGAAAAGTTCGCGGTGGGGGGGGTGGGAAGTGAAGAGCAGCGGGGGCTTTGCCGTGCCCGGTGCACCCCGGCAGGCGCGGGGCCCCCTCGCTCCCTCCTCAGCTCCTCCCGGGCTTCGGTGCTGCTGCCTGGCGTCTATTCCTCGGGTTTGCTTGTGTATTCGTGGGTTTAATTGTTTGTTTGGTAAATGCGACCATTCCCGGTATGAATATTTCAAAGCCACGCTCCTTCCTAGTAAAAAAAAAAAAAAAGGGATGGGGGGGGCCGCTTCCAACTTAATTAGCTTTTATATTAGCTTTTATTTGTAATGTAGCCAGATTGGGGAAACGCTTAAACTTCAGCATGTGCTTTTTCGGAGAGCTGGCTCGTCCTTCCCCCCCCCTGAAATATAGAACAAGACTCATTCGCCTTGAAAATACTTAATAACACTACCCAGGAATGCAATTAATCGCACTGTTATTAATACTAATGATAATACCAGTGATGCTAATAATAACAATGCAAGGGCGTTTGAGTGAGACAGAACCAGCATCTCCCCCTCGTGCCGGTCCGGCTGGTACCTGGTTTCCAGCTGAAAGGTAAAGCGGAGCCAAAGCCCGGGCTTTGGAGGGAGAGAGAGAAAAACTTGGCTTCGCCCTCCCAGTAAAAATATTTTGCAGGGAAAGGCGAACTTTTCCAAACTGGCAGAGCAGGAGCCCCCGCCGAGGGTGCAACTCCTCGGAGCGCAGGACGCGCTGACAATTCTTTTTTCCCTTTGAATTAACGTCTGTTTTCTTTTCACTCAACGTGGAAGAGTTTTTGCCATGGCAGCCATAGGATTAAAAATACAGTATATTCTCGCCCCTGTGATTTCCTCCCCTCCTTGTGCAGGATGTTAGGGTGACATTTATTTTTTTTTTCCTATCATTTAACTCGCACACAGACACACAGGCGCACACACACACACTCACACACTCACACACAAAAAGAAAGTCCTATTCTATTGTACTGGGCAGAGATCCAGAACAAACTGCAACCGTGAGGTGAATGATTGGAGAGAATTAAATATCCAGGTTCTGTGCTCAATGTCCCTGAAATTGAATATATAAAAATCTTGTCCAAGAAAACGTTATTAAGTTATAAGTAAGTGCAGGGACCCGCGCTAAGAGGATGCTGTGTGGTTTCCATGGCATGTGGTTACGATGCATATTTTGTTTTAAATAATAGTTTAATTTGGGCTGATGTTGAGAGCCTGCCAGGGCTGGAAGACGAAGCTGTTTCGCTGAAAGTCCTCCCTCCGATTTCCCTGACTCTTTCAATTTTTGAAAGTATTTCTTAATAATGAATCTCTGCCCTGTGTATGGCACAGGAATCTGTTAAATTATTCGCTGGATTTTAAAGAAAAGACGTGCCAGAACCGCTTCCCATTCGCCTTCCTGTTTAGGGATTTGTGTCTAGTGAGTAGATAAAGCAACATTGGCATTTAAAATGTATTTTAACGATCCAAAATATGACCGAAAAATAAACCCAAACCGAATAAAAACCTGTTATGAAGCACAGCCCTCCACTGCCATTAAAGGATGGGTAGCAGGATTAACAGTATCAATTATTAACAGCTTTCTTCCTCTTTAATATTTAATTCTGCATATTAGATCAAGTCAATTACATTAAGGAAATAGCCGTGCAAATTTGTAAGAGGCAGTACTTACAGGGGAAGATTAACCGGATTATTTTTTAAAAATATTCAATATATTTCATTTTACGTGGAGGAAACGTTGCAGTGGCGTGTGTGTGTGTGTGTGTATGTATTTATAATGGTCCATTTAATTGGTGTAAAGGTTTATGGCTTCAGTCATAATTTCAGAGGAGGCAAAGGAAATAAAATAGAAATACGTGGTGTGTCCATAACCCTCCGTTTTACTCTTTCCCGCCTCTCAGTTACCCCACGGGCAGCCAATATTTGCATGTGATTAGTGAACGTTCTATTATTTACCCTAAACCCACTTCACCTCTGGGTGCGACCTTCGCCACTCTGCTGTCTGTGGGGGTGGGTTTTGCCCCAAAATTGTTGTCTCCCCCCCCCCCCCCTTGAATAGACTAATTCCTGGAATGTCCTTTTTGCAAGATTCCCACGTAACTTCTCCCACCCGCGAGCGTGACGGGCAGCCCTTTATTTATTTTCTGGCTGCATTTCCAGCCCTGCAAATGTCCGTGTCTCTGGATAACACTGTCCAGATCTCCGGCAGCAGAGTCCATGCAGCCCTCAGAGGATGTTTATTGTATCGAGACCGTTTTTTGCCACATTGCAAAGGAAAAAAAAAAAAAATGGGCAGGATTTATGAAAGGTTCCTCCAGCCCTCCTCTCTCTGCCCTTTTCCTGCGCGGCGTGTCTGGAGAAGTAAATCTATGGACACGTGGGGGAAAAAAAAATAGAGATATATGTAATTTTCGCCTTGGTTTCTTTGTATCGAACGTGCAGATGGGCGTTGTGACAGCCTGGAGGTGGATGTGGGTGTTTACCTGGCACGGAGGGACCTGGGGGAAAGCGGGAGGGGAGGGGGGGAGCTCTGGCACGTGTGTACCCAAACATACGTGTGGGCACCCAAACATACGTGTGGGCACGGACACGCGTGTGCAGGGACACGGCTCTGAGCTCACACAACACACCCCCACGTGCCCACGGGTGTCCTCCCCCCGGCTCCCAAACTCGGGAGGGACGGGGTGCCCGTGGAACTTGGGGATCGGGCCCCCCACCATCTGTGCCGGCCCTGGTGATTCCAAACGATTTTCCCGCGGCCTCCCCCCCTCCTCCCGCTGCAAGGCAGCGTTCCTCGAGCCCTGCATATGCGTGTGGATAATCTTAATATCTGATGGCGTGATTAAAACCTTCTGAGGAACACTCGGGGGCTGCACCGTATTGATCTTGCTGCTTTTCTTTCAGCCAACCCAGCCGCCAGCTGGCTGCACGCCCGCTCCTCCCGGAAAAAACGCTGCCCCTACACCAAATACCAGACCCTGGAACTAGAGAAGGAGTTTTTATTCAATATGTACCTGACGAGGGACCGTAGACACGAAGTGGCCAGACTCCTCAACCTGAGTGAGAGACAAGTCAAAATCTGGTTTCAGAACCGAAGGATGAAAATGAAGAAAATGAACAAGGAGCAGGGCAAGGAATGAAAAAGCAGAAAAGCAGCACCCCCCCAGCCCCTGTGCCCCTCTCTCTGGGGTTCTGTGGCACTGCAACCCCCCTGTAGTGCTGCCAAATCCCCCCGAAACGAGGGAGAACACCCCCCCTCCCCCGTTTCCCATCTCCACCTTTGCATGCGAGATGTTGCTTATTATTATTTCTTTTTTTTTTTTTTTTTTTTTTTGAATCTTCTTAGCATTGCCACTTAGGAGGCAACTCAGCCAAAACTGCAGCTCCTCTTTGGGGACACACGCTGGGTTTTGTTTCCCTTTTCTTGTTTTCTTTTTCTCTTTCCTCCCCCCGCCCCATTTCTCTCTTTTCTTCTCCCTGCGGTGTAACCCAGCACAGGCTCCTGTTGGAGCTGCAGCTTTCCCTGCTCGCGTTTTCTCCATGGAAAGCAGGACGGTAAACACAACTGGCCACAAAAAAACCAAACCCCAAACCCACCACGGCCCAAGTCCCCACCAAACCTCGCTGTCTTTATGCACGCCAGGACAATGATTCCCTATAAAACACACCCTCACCCGCACTCACGGGCGCTCACACGCACTCACACTCACGCCTTGAGGTGGCCAAGCAACCAGACGATTTAATTAAACTACTGCAAGGCAGACACATTCGTAAGACTCGCGTTTAATTGCACCCAACAAATCATTTTCAATTCACCAACTTTATTCCGGGGTAGTCGGTTAATGACAGCCCAACTCCCAACTGGGGCTTCCCCCCTTCCTAAGCCCTTCCCCCCCTCCCCTTTCCCTGTTATTTTACTTTTTTAGCTTGTTTTATTCTGCGGAATTTTTATTTGAATCGTGCTGTGGCAGAAATGTGACTTTGACCTGAAAGCTTAGTAGGATCTTTACAGGCAAACCTCCTCATCTGGTAGTTTTATACTGGGTCACTTGGAAGAAGAGAAAAGACGGGGAGGGAGGCGAGAGAGAGTGTGTGGGGGGCACTCTCAGAGCCGCATTGTAAATTATTTAGGAGAAAAAGGGGCGGAAGAACCCCTGCCAACTTATTCCTAACTTTTAGAGAAGAGGAAGAATGGGATTTTCTAGTTAAAAAACTACCTTAGTAGAGCTATCAGGGAGGGGAAGGTTGTGTTCTTAGCGCTAGATATTTATAATTTATTGTGAATTGACTTTTCCTAAAGCAGTAGGCTGTTGCAGAGATAAAGTGCCAACCCCAGCCTGTGTGTATTCCTTCCCCCTCCTGTTTGCTGAGTCGCTTTTAATACTTGAATGTCGGTGGGGTTTTGGTGGGGTGGGGTTGGGGTGGGTTTTTCTGAAGCCCGAAGAGAGCTCCAGGCGTGTTTTCCGCTGCCACCCGCGCCCCTCCGGGCCCCGGTGCCACCGGCGGGGCCTCCCCGAGGAAGGAACCTCGTCCCACGGGTGGCACCGGGGGCTCCTCTGGCTGCCCCCCCCCACCTTCCTCATCCTCATCCTCGTCCCGAAGAGTCACAAATATGGAGCTCGGCGGTCTCGTGTCCTGCCGGCCGGAGCTGCTCTCCCATCTGACAGATCCGCTGGAGGTTTCTCCATCCCGCGCGGGCGGGACTGGTTCCCCTTTATCTCTGTAAGACTTAACTTTGTTTTGGGAAGGGAGGAGGGTGGGAGGGAGGGCCGGGTTGGGGGGGTTAGTTCCAGTCGATTATATGGTGGGTATTGTAAACTGTGTTCGTGGTTGTGTTTCTGTGAACGTTGGAGCTCGTTTTCTGTTTCTACTGTGGCTTTTGAAGTATGCGCAGAGTTCTGCAGTTGATAGTGGATGGAAAATATCGAAATAAACCTCTCTCGTTTTCTTCGTGTGCAAACTTTGTATATTTAGCTGCCAGGAGGCTTTCTAGGAACAAGGCGAGTGGAAGGTGGCTTGTTTTAATAGGGAGCTTGGGGAGGAAATAGAGAAAAGACATTTTTTTCTGCCGTGTATCTGAAGGAACCAGCGCAAATCCGTGTGCAGGAGTGACTCGTGTATGCTCTGAGTCAGGTTTGGTGAGAACACTTTTATCTGCTCAGCAGAGGTTGCTCTGGGAAGAAGCGATAGGCAGATTGGCGTTTTTGGGAAGTGTTCCTGCTTTCCACCCCCCTCCCACCACCACCCAGAGATAAGAATCAAGTAGCTGCCCCTCTGAAATTTCCACCACTTCAAATCCTCTTCACGGGGTAAAAAAAAAAAAAAATAAAAACCCTTCCCCTGGACAAGAAACCAGAGTTTAAGCGTTTAAGACCATTCCTCAGAAAGTTGGTCGGTTTTTGGTGGTTTGTTGGGGTTTTTTTAATGCCTGGACTTTCTCGTGTAAAACTTTCCACGGTCGAAGTGGCTCCTTGGGGGCTTCCCAATTTAACTGTTCTCTTGCCGGAGGGAGTTCAGTGTAACCAAACTTCACTCTGCGTCCCGAAACTAAATTAAAGAAAAGCTGTTTTGGAGGCATTTTGAGCTGCGGAGTTGGTGGCAGCAGGATCCTTTCCCTAAAGTGGGATTTACTAAAAGAAAGAAATAAAAGAGAAAGAGGTAGTGGGTCGAAAAATACGTTTCAACCTCGTTTAAGCTGGGCAAAAAAAAAAAAAAAATCCAGTTTTGTTTGGTTCTTCTCTAGGATGGATGAATTTCAAATCTGCTCCTTGCTGAGCTGGTTTATTCCTGGTGTCTCGTGCTGAGTATGGACTTGCCTAAATCCTCATTGCTATATTTTCCAGAAGCGTTTCCGTGAGTTAATTGATGTTTGCAACCCATCGGCCAACAGGAGTTAGAAATGTTTTTCACTTTCTTTAGAATTGTGGTAAAGAGCGGATATTTTTAAGATGACAATATAAGGTTGTTTTTAAATAGAATTTAAAATGTTAGTTCATTTTATTAGGAAATATGCTTACTTAAAAAAAAAAAAAAAAGTTGGAAAAAATGTTTTCTGTAGCATCAGCCCGGATGTATTTTCCAGAGATGTTTAATGCTCCAGAATAAAAATCGATTTTAGAACAACAGCACCTATATGTCATTGTGTTATACTACTTCCTCTAAAATCTCAGAAATGTTTTCATTGTCTTTTCGTGCTCGTTAAAGTGTATTCCAAGAATTCTTTTTTGCTTTGGTAAAGAAAAAAAAAAAAAAAAAAGCCCAGAGGAAATGGAAGTAACTCCACTCTGGAGTAGCAAGTGTTTCCCGGGTCCCACACAAACTTGCTGCTCTCCCAAGTCTTTTATTCGAATTATTTGTGCATTGTGAAATCGGAGATGGTGACTCTCCGGTTACGTTGCTCGGTGGTCGATTGTTTGTTTGCTTGTTTATCTGTTTGTTTTTGAGGGTTTAATCCTCGCCTTCCCACATCAGCCTTTGGGGACGGGGAGGGGTGAAAGGCGGGTTTGCTTCCTTTGCTTTATTTCCCCTTTCGCCCAAGGAAAAACTTGGCTCAAGAAAAATTAGAAACCCAAAACAAACAGTGGGAAACCCCACCCCGCTTTCCCTTCTCGGCTTCACCTCGGATTTGACACGCGGTTCCTTTTTCCAAGGGCTCAACCAGCAATTCCTATAATTCCGTCTCTAAATTCGTTTGACGTTTTATTGCTCATGAAGAAATACAAGTGCTTGGAAAGTGCGTCTATCTCTATATTAAACAAAACAAAACAAAACAAACACAACACAAACCAAAACAAATCCTAAGACCTGCTCAGCCCTGCAGGAAGCAGGTAGTGAGAAATATAACCAAGAATCTCTTTCCACTAATTTTTAACATAATGGGTGCTCTAAAGGGCAATATTTCACTTTTTCTTTTTTTTTTTTTTTAAACCTTTCTTTGGGGCAGCTCTGAAAAGAAAACAAAAGAAGAGGAGAGATATTTGGAGCTTACAGAGGGAAGAGAGAGAAAGGGAAGTAACTTGTCATAAAAAAAGGAAAATTCAGTGCAGTGTGCTGCAATAAAAGAATATGACCGCTATAAAACTTTATAGGGTATAAATTTCTGAAGGTTAAGGAACTAAACGGCTGTAAAGGAAACAGTGCAAGAAAACTTTCAGGAACTCCTAAATTACTCCAACGACTTGGGAATGTGGGGAAACCCAACGTGTAAATGCTTTTGCTTCTGTTTCAGTCACAAAGTTCTCCTCTGCTTCTTTTATTTATTATTTTTTTCCCCTAAGGGAAGGGGTAGTTAAAAAATAAGGTGGGGGAAAGAGAAAAGGTGGGGAGGGACTTTTGTTAATTTATTCTTCTCTTGCAGATGCCGTGAAAATCCAGCGCTCTGGATGATTCCCTTTGTTCTTTTTTTTTTTTTTTTTTTTCTTTTTTTTTTTCTTCTTTTTCCCCCCCCCCCTTTTTTTTTTTCCCCTTTAAAGCAATTCCAGGCCACCAGAATTCCAAGCCACGCACACACCACCAGCAGCACCACGCACACAGGCAGCCCCCACACTCACACACTCGAAGTTCTGGCGAGACGTCTGGGCTGGGGAAGCTCTTTATGAGTTTACAACCCTGGCCTTCCCCCCTCCTCCCCGACCCCCTCGGCAGCAGAATGACCAATTGTTTAGTCTCGGAATTTGAAACAATAGCGGTTTTCAAAAGCAAACCCACTTTGCCTCTTTTATTGCCGCGATGGTGAAGCTTTAAAAAAAAAAAAAAAAAAAAAAAAAAAAACCCCACCAAACAAAAACCAGCACTGCGAGTCGGACAAAAAAACTCGTTGGTTGATTTTTTTTTTTCCCTCTTTTTTTCCTCGCTTTCAGGGTTTTATCTCCCCAGGTCCGAGCGGGTTTTTCCCCCCCGGGTTTTTCTGCTCCCCCCTCGGTTTTCCCAGGGACCTCCTGCAGTTCCGCGCGTGGCCGCGAGGTGGCGGCGTTGCTCCACGCTAGACGCGCGTGCCCCCCCGCGCTCCTGCGCGGAAAGTCCTTGAGTTCATGATCGGGGCCCTGGATGAACCCACACCCCCCCCCGGCATTAAATATAGGGTTAATCACGGCCCTTTCCCCCCGTTTTATACCTGACATCTCTTTTCCTCCTCCTGGGT